GATGGAATGAGTGAAAACAGACAGATACATGATTGCTGTGGCAACAGGTCTTTGGCTGAGCTGGAAGACAGTGAACAGTACAGTGTGGACAAACTATACGTTTGAATACTTTCAGTGGCTTCAGATCCAGAGTGTACCTGATAAGATGTTATGGTCACATCATGTGCCGCAGGACAAAAGAATGATTTGCTTTCTGCAGATAAAGAAAAGTGGTGCATTTCCGTTTCTCTCCCAGTTTGCCATCTACCAATTTAGAACAGAGTTTTAGGGGTGAGAGCAAAGAAGCCAGCCAGAATGCTGGAGAATTAAAGGTATCAGTGGAGCAAAAAAGTCATTGTAGCTTGGGACTCAAGAGTCACATTTTATCACACTCACATCCATTATCACATGCAGATGCTTTTCAGTTCATTTTTTTCTCATGAACAGTAATTTTTACTTTTGCAGATTTTGACTGCTCTGGAGACTTTAAGCCTTAGGTTGCCTTGATTTTGAGAGAAGATTCAGTTTTTACAATATGGTAGACTAATCCTTCTGGGAGATTCTGCACCTCCATTGTATTCTGTCTTACATTATCCTTCTGAATTTTCACATCCGGATTCTTCTGGATCAGTTCTCCTGCCCATTCACTTGACTGTTCAAGAATGTGTTCCTTGGAATAGGTACCTATTTCAGTTACTAATTCCAAAGTAGACGTTGTCTAGAGGGGTGGGGTAAAAATCAAATAAACAAATAAACAAACAAACAAATAAACAAATAAACCTGTCTTACATTATCCTTCTGAATTTTCACATCCGGATTCTTCTGGATCAGTTCTCCTGCCCATTCACTTGACTGTTCAAGAATGTGTTCCTTGGAATAGGTACCTATTTCAGTTACTAATTCCAAAGTAGACGTTGTCTAGAGGGGTGGGGTAAAAATCAAATAAACAAATAAACAAACAAACAAATAAACAAATAAACAAATAAATAAATAAATAAATAAACGTCTTACAATAATTTTTTTTAAAAAGTATGTGGTCTTTTATACAATCTGAGAACACTGGTGGCCAGTGCCTTTATTAGGCAACTCAAATCCCACAAGCAGGTGTAGCTTTCCAAGTCCTGTGAGGCTCTTTGGGAGGCTAGGTATTAGAGAGCTTAGGAAGGGTGCAGAAGAAACCTAAAATTCCCATGGCTTGATATAGGGGGTGGTTCTCTTGTTTCAAGAACGTTCCCAAAGTGGATGCTGCAAGATTGTGGAGTCAGTTTGAGGTTTTATGTTTCTTTTGCATGAACATCTAGCTCTGAAATGCCTATACTGATGAAGAGTTTTGCTGTAATAAAAAGTTATACTGTTTGTGAAATATTAGTGGTTTAATAAAGGTATTGCTACCCTTGTTTTTGGATAACAACAGTGGCAATCTTGCTGCCAAAAAGTGATGAGTAACACAACGGGTTCCTTTTGTTTTTAAAAATGTAGCCTTTAAACCTTTTTTCAAGATGGATCCATAAGGCTGCAACCTTAGTTGGAATGAAAGAAATAGAGATGGATGATTACCTAAGATCTAATGATGCCAAAGGATGATTCATGATAGTTTTTGGCTGTTTTCTTAAATATTCAATCTCTTTGTTAGCAAACATTCTTGAAAATCGAAGCCTTTCATTTCTAGCATAAATATCAAAAGTAGATTTTTGGTTCATTGGACCCAAGAGACCCTATGCAAACATTTTCAGCCTGTACATTCTCTATAGCTCTTTGGATGAACATATACAAATGGAAATCTTATGAAAATCTCATATGCATGTTTTCAGTCAGGGGCCAGGCAAAAAAGCTGGAATCTCTTCAGGTTCTGTTAAATTTAATTACTTCCCCATAGAGATGGGCACAACTTAAGTTATGCCTCTTTGCATAAAGTAATCTTCATGGCACCACATGTGTCATGAGGATCCCCTGGGCTGGCTGGGCCACTCACCTTGCAATCTGGACATGAGCTTGGGCTGCTCATCCCCACCTCCTCCAGCAGCTGACCACTCATTGGCTGCATGAGGAGAATCCCCGTTCCACCTCCTAATCGAAGTGGTCTGCTGCCAGAGGGGACAGGGATGGGCAGCCCAAGCTCCTGCCCAGATTGGAGTGCCGCTGGAGAAAAAGGACTCCAGTGGCACATGCTGTGGGATGAGTGGCCCAACTGGCCCAGGTGGGAGGAAGATCCATATGGCACCTGTGATGCTGCACAGGTGACTCATACAAAGAGGCACGACTTAAGTCATGCCCATCTCTACTTTCCCATATGGGTCTTCTGAAAAAGAAGGAGAAAAAGGTAGCTCTTATTTAAATATAGAACATGCTAATAACCTGAATGTATTTTTTCCCCAAACTAAATAGCAAGCCCTTGATATAGACTAAAATGTAAGATGTAACAAAGTAAATTGTGGTTGTATTGTATTAGAAAATGTCCTACATTTTATATATGTATCACTGCGATTAGTTAATTAGAAACCTGTCACAAATGCTAAAAGGAATGTTTGATAGGGCTTTTTTTGCTGCAGCAGCCGATGACTGCAGGGAAAAAATGATATTTTGTTACAGAGGGAGCTTATAAATGTGACTGTATCCTATATCCATGTTGTTCATTTACATTGACATGAAGTCTAATCTCAGTTTTACTTGAACTTTTAATTAAAACAAGTGTTTAAAGTAAAATAGGTAAATTAATGTTATCCCGAAGAAAAACGGGATGATTTTGAAATCTTTTTCTAAGCTTCATTTGCTAAGTTTAGGCCACAAATTTAAACAATGGTTTCTTATTCTTCCTATACAGTAGGATGGTATTATCTGCAAGGGATTGGTTCCAAGCCTCCAATGTCAAAAATTGTGGATATAGCAACCCGTATAGATAGCATAGTCTAGTGGCCAGTTCTAGTATTACACCTTGGAAACATATTTCTGAGTTTGTTTTTATCATATTTTCAGGCAGTGAATGAAACTGTGGGTACTGATCCCTCAGATACCGTGGTCCTACTGTAATATTCTCTATACAAGATCAATCTGTATTAGAAGGAGGGAAATTTACCTACAGTATTGGATTATAAACCATCCCAAAGCCATTGTGCATAGATATATATATCTATATATAGAGAGAGTGGTCCGGTGGGCCAGATAGGCGGGGTATAAATTAAATAAATAAATAAATAAAATATATCTACATACACACATAGAGAGTAAGCACAGACGGTCTGGCTAATTGATGAAAAAGATGGAAACAGTCCATCCAATGCTTCCGAATTTTAGAAGTCAATGCAACAAAGCAAGAACTACTGTAGATTAGTTATGCACTTTGCACAATTTATACCAAGTAATTTGGGCAACTGCAAACATTTTCGCCAAGGCTGACACAAAATATCTTGCCATCTTGCAAGCAAGAAGGGAAATTTTGCACTTTCATGTTTTCACATGAAGGATTCACATCCCTAGTGAAGAGTTTCAGTGTGTGGCGGAGGCTGTTCTTTCCAACTGAACATTCTCCATGGGAAGAGAATTATGAAGAGGTGAGGATGGGGCTAGCCTGCTCTCTTTCCTCATGTAGTGGGTTGACCTTACCTTGAAGGCATGAAGAGGGTGTAGGCTGAATGGGAATGGACTTGTGGACGCTGTCCCTAAATGTCCCTAAATGTCATCTCAAAAGGTTATCAATTCTGTTTAATTTTCTGTATAATTTTTATATGTGTAGGTTGTCCATAAATAAGCCATCACTCCACTTCACGCATCGATGTAGAACAAGCCTACATGTAAATAGACAGTATGCAAGTAGTCTCCATCCATGCAAACCTTATTAATGCAAAAGGGATTGCAAGGGTGGTTGTGCTAATTCATGACTCTGCTGCCCTGTTGTACATTCAGCTTACATGGTTTTTTAGTTTATGAAAAGGGGTAATGTCTCTCCTGGCTAATAATGTGCTCCGAGTTTGTTATCTCCAGACACGTGGTGTGAAAAAAGTGCTAGCAGTGTCATGAAAGTGGTAGTATATATGGTAAAGAAGGTGAAATGGAAGATGTAAAAAGGCTAATTCATTTCATTTTGTCATTAAACAGGTGAATTATCTGAAATAGATCAGAGAAAGGGCATGGGTATTAACCTTAGGATTAAAAGGTACAGTGCCTCTAAGAGAATGGGGTGAGAATCATAAATCTATGCAGTCTGGGAAGAAATGAGATGTTTAATAGAGAATCTAATTGAAGTTTAAAAAATGTCTTGGCTGGTTTGGCTAGTGTCAACTTCAATTATTTGGGTTAATCTCATCCCAGGACCAGAATAATAGATGTTAATGAAAATCTCCAAAGAGCAGCGGTTTTCTCCCCCAAAGGTCTGAAATTTCTAGGCCAACTATAGACTGAGGGCAAACATAACTTGAGCACACAAAATAACGTACATAAAAATGACTTAGGTAGAATTAAAGGGTCACATAAGCCCAGTACCATTTCAAGGAAAAACTCACCACAGGTACCATGGCATACATTTTCTCAATAGTAAAGGGAGCTACATGCTGTGCCTCAAATGGATAATGATATGCTGCTCTCTTATCTGTTGTTCTGCTTTTTTTTGTTCCTGTGCTGCTCCTTGTATGACCCATGTTAATAAGAAAACAAAGAAAAACAGAAAATTTTGCATTAGAGTGGGCCCGTGTTACTAAGAGCATATCCTTTGTTGGCAATCATCTAGCTTTTACTAGTGCTATGAAAACAAAGAGGAAGCCTTCCTAAATCTCGTTACAAGTTGTAGAAATGCATTTTGTTTCTCATTAAAGATTGTGCTTTAGTCACAGTGAGAAAACAGGTACCACTATATCTAGCAATATAATATTTTCCTAATGTGGAATGGACAAGACAAAACAATAACAATAAGAACAGAGACTGCAAGGAACTTTCAGTTGACTATTGGCAGAGACAGATACAGAGATAGATATATTACCATTTTCTCTCTCTCAGAATATTCTGATTCTCTTTTCCTTTCCTTTCCCCAGTTTTTGACTGCGATTTTGAATCACCCTGTGATTTAGAATATTCCCCATCAGTGAAGGAGGGCCATAACAGATCTTGGCAAAGGCTGAGAGCAGATGATCTCTCACAGCTCCTTATTTTGGAAGGTCCAGACCGGGATTATTCAGAAGATTCAACAAAAGGTAAGAGAAACAAAACAAAATTTTAAAAATCTGTATTCTCTTAATATACTATTGGCTATCTTAAAAGGGCTTCATTGATGATCATATCTTGCAATGTTTTGTTGAGATTACAACCTACTTGTCAATAGATGTTGGGGCAAATTTGTTTGCAATGAAGTTTTTTGCAATGAATATATAAAATCTATATTGCTGCTGCAGCTACTGCTACTACCACTATTACTACCACCACCGCTACCACCACTACTCCTACTCCTACTCATCAATAACAACAAGAAGAACAACAGCAAGAACAGCAGCAGCAGCGTGCTATTTTATGTACAACGTCCTAACTTTGAATTAAGCTTCTGGAATTCTTACTCTTGTTAAATGACAAACTCAAACTAGCAGTAGAACATTTCTGGTGCATTCAGATAATTTCCTATAAACTGCCATATTTATATGAAAAGGTGATCATGATGAGAAAACTTAGGCAAGTTGGCTTCCATGTAATATTTGTAAATAAATGGCACAGACTTAGATCTACCCAGTGATTTTACTATGTGACCATTTTTCCTCTTAAAGACCTGGCTGACACCAAATCATAATATAACAAAGCCATTTCTATGAAGATGCATTATCTGGATTTTTTTCCAAGTGCTTAAAATTCAGAAGACATTGAGACTTACAATGGTTTTTATGAGAACTTAAGTACTGCTTATGGCATCTATGGCACCAATACCAAATTGCTTTTACATAGTTGTTGGGCCTACACATGCATAACAACCTACTTACGCTACCCTGCGTCAACTAGAAGTACATGGATTTCTCCACATGGATAGTTCTGCTTCACATTCAAGCTTATTCTTCTTAAATCTTATTAAATACAAATTCAAGTTTGACTATGGGGGTGGAATTTTGTGGCAATAATGTATTTGTGAACTATATTCCCTAACATTTAACAAGAATTTTCTAGTCTCTTGTTGCCCCCTGATGTGTGTGACTAAAAGTGTCTCTTACTCACTGATAGCTGAGGATGGTAGGAGTTGTAATACAGCTGCACTGCAACTCCCTTACCCTGGCAGTGGTAGGAGCACCACAAGATCTCCATCATCACATTGGAGAGTCTGCACAGAAAGGATTATGTTGTCAACAAGTGGTCAATTGTTTCCAGGCACAATTCAAAGTGCTAATTTTAACCTATAAAGCCCTAAACGGCTTGGATCCAAACTATCTAAAAGACCACATCTCTGTCTGTGAGCCTGCCCTGGTGATAAGATTGGCCCCACCATCTTGACAGATGTGTTTGGTGGAGACATGGGAGAGGGCCTTCTCTGACATCGTTCCCAGACTCTGGAACTCCCTCCCAACTGAGGCCAGGTTGACCCCATCTTTGCTGGTCTTCCACAAGCAGATAAAGATCTTTCTCTTCAGGCAGGCTTTCCCTTAGTGATTCATTATCTGACAGGTGTTTTTAAATGTACTGTTGTACATTATTGCTTTATATGTCTTTTGATATTGATTTTGTTTACCATTCTAGTGTGGTATTTGATACTTTTGTAATATTAGTACACTCACTGTTTTTAGTTTTAAACATTTTCTTCTACTGATGTAAGCTGCTTGAGTCCTTTTTGAGGAGAAAGGTGAGGTGAAAATATTTTAAATAAATAAATGTAGAGGGAACTATGTGACCAAATCCAGATTAAATCTTCAGACAGGGGTTCTCAAAGTGCATTCTGTGGCACCCTTTGGCCCCTGCAGTGCCCTGGGCCACCGCCAAACCCAGCCTGGGGCACTGCAGAATCTTCTCTCTGTCTTTCTGCTGAATTGATGGTGCTGGTTTTGCTGCCCCTCTGGCTCCAAATGTTTCATGCTCTTTCACCTCCTTGTCCCCCATGCACCCCTCACCACTCTCCTGCTCTGTTGCCACTGCCACTGCTCAAGGGAACTGTGAGCTGAAAAAGTTTGGAAATCACTGTCTTAGGAGATAGAGAATTGACTAATGAGACTACGGGGAGGGAGGTGTCAAAGATTGCCCTTGAAAACATTTCAGTAGCAGGTTGTACTGTAAAAACACTTTGCTTCTCCTAAAAGTTGGCATAGTACCGTATTTGTGCACCATAAGACGCACTTTTCCCCCTCCAAAAGGGGGGTAGAAAGTCTGTGCGTCTTATGGTGCGAAGGTGGTGACTTCGCCCCCACCGGCCCCGTGGGGGGGAGCGTCGCAAGGGTCCGAGGGAGCCTTCCAGGACCCTTGCGATGCTCCCCCACCCCCCCACGGGGCCAGCGCAGGTGAAATCGCCAGCTCCCAGGACCTTTTGAGAGGCTGGAAAGCTTCTCAAAAGGTCCTGGAAGGTCGCTATTTCGCCCATGCTGGCCCTGTGGGGGGGGTAGCATGGCAAGGGTCTGGAAGGCCCCCTCAGACTCTTGCCACGCTACCCCCCCATGGGGCCAGCGCAGGTGAAATCGCCAGCTCCCAGGACCTTTTGAGAGGCTGGAAAGCTTCTCAAAAGGTCCTGGAAGGTCGCTATTTCGCCCATGCTGGCCCTGTGGGGGGGGTAGCATGGCAAGGGTCTGGAAGGCCCCCTCAGACTCTTGCCACGCTACCCCCCCATGGGGCCAGCGCAGGTGAAATCGCCAGCTCCCAGGACCTTTTGAGAGGCTGGAAAGCTTCTCAAAAGGTCCTGGAAGGTCGCTATTTCGCCCATGCTGGCCCTGTGGGGCGGGTAGCATGGCAAGGGTCTGGAAGGCCCCCTCGGACCCTTGCCACCCTACCCCCACCCCCCCATG